AAGAACTTTTTGGCTTCTTATCTGAAGAAAAAGAGATCTTTAGAAGATAAGTTCAAAACCAATTCCAGATGAACGAGATATTCTTAAGTATGAATTGCCCTCTATTTTAGATTAATGTTTTGAGTGCTTATATCTATTTTTGTATCATAATTATATTTATCGAACTTGGCGAAAAGGCCCAATAAGCCCAAAGAGTAGAAAATTCCTTATTATCCATAGGAAACCGATAACAATCTGTTCCGAGAAAATTATAATCAAAATAAATTTTAAAACGTTAGCATTTTAATTCTGTGAACCTCGAGAGCCTCAAACGACTGGAAAAGTGAAAGATTTTATAGAATAACTTGGATTCTGCCGCAGTCAAGCGCGTGTTTTAATCAAGGGTGTCACTCGGTAAGACCCATATCAAAATAAAAAAAACAGTTACAAATAATTGTTTGTTTTTGAAGTTAAAGCGATAGGAAAGTTTGTTTGTATTAGAAAAGATAGACAGTTTTCCGTACGGGTTGTAAAAAATAGAAGAGAAACAGAAAGGGTTATCTGGGTCGCGCAGTTTCGATGATCTTTAACCCACTCGGGAACAAGTGACGTAGTACATTCGTCGATAAGTGCAACGAAACGTTATGAATCAGAGCTCAACTATTTCGAGTGAGACGTCCCCCCGGATAAGACCGATTTCACTTTGTTTTGCTTTACTATAAATAATTACTGCCGGGCAAACCTTTCACCGAATGCCACATTTAACAGGAGAACCGTCGGAACGAGCCGATCGGCTGGATAACCGGTTTTTGCCACCTCCTCGCGAGTCGGCATTTTATGCAAATCCAGACTTCGGCCGTCCCGGGGGATGTTCGAAAGTGGCAACTTATCACCCAACGGCGCCAAACCGCGCGCGCAGAAAAAGCCATGCTTTCAATAATAATTATATCGGCTGGCCGTGTAATACGAGTGCGGGATGGCGGACGGGAGCAAAAATGTCTCCCTCTTCGATAGCCGAAGATAAAAACGGGCGAAAGAGTACGACACCGAAGCAAACAGATAAGAGTGGAGAGACAGAAGACAGAACCAGACATTTAAGACTGTGGTTATGACAGAGATCGCAGATAACGCCCACACAACACTTATATCTTCCCAAAGAAGATACGGACATTAGAGTGTCTGGTAGTGGCAATACATTTAGCCACCATATCTACGATCCTATTTTTTACCCAATCTTTGTCTCCCATCGTTCTTATCGTTGCATCGTGGTTTGTGCGCGCTCCCAGAGTTTGAAACTCTTCCAGTAATACTTTGCAATAAATTGAACTAGGCCACCTTTCCAATAACACGGACAATCGTTTTCGCGGTGTGTCTCAGACAAATCCCACCCTCGATTATACCATGCAGAAAAAAATTTTCCGTGTTAAATTAATACTAGAAACTTATCTTCGTCCTATATTTTACCGTAGAGGACGAAGATAAGTATCCTGCTTTTGATCAAATATCTTGAATTTTATGAATAAACTGTAGATAATTTACATCTTTAAACATTTATAAAGTAATTTTTATTATAATTTATAAAGTGTGTCTTAGATTTTCTAGAAGGCGTCGAAGGGAGTGAATGTTTCAATGCAGCGAAGTGAGTGTTTTAAATAATCTGTAATAAATAAATGGCGAGGCCGGTTGTAATTCGAAAAAACGTGATTATTTATTTTCAATGTACCTGATGATCTGGAGCCAATAACGACCTTTAGGCCGTATCTTCTTCATCTAAACTGCCTCTACACTTCCTCTCTAAACCAGATTTACAACAATTTGCAAGCTCTATCGATCTCATTGAAAGACTAACTGCAATAACTCTCTCGCAACACGTTTCACTAATGTATCTGTTTTATAAGATTATCTATTCCTTTATCTATTATATATTTTTTCGGTTTAATAAAAATAAGATTACTGTTATTATCGCTGTGACACACGATCCGTCTCGAGGGTGATTCCCGTATCGTAGGCCATGGCGACATCTGGTGATATTAAAGCGAAGATAAAACCGCCTGTGGAATTTGAACAAGTGTTCTCGATGGGGGTGACTTATAATAGGTGAAGATCGGCCCGTTTTAGGGAGTGTCGGACGGGAGAGGGTGAGAACTGCCTATTTTCCTTTCCTTCCTTCGAATAACGGATGGGAGGACGACTCTTCTATCGATTATTTAATCCAGATGATAATTTGAGTATCCGGATACGAATATCGTCTAGGCACTGCCCGCCAAAGGTCACGATTGCAGATAGAATCTGATTTCTTTGCCGTAGGTCAATTCGACGTTTGCGTGATGCGGGGGATGTTTCGAATTACAAAATGTCAACCGTGAAAGATTTAATCGATCGAAATAGTTAATTTTCTATCTTCGTTTGAAAGGACACCATTTTAGTAGGCTATCTCTCTATAAAATCTGATCGATTCTTTGCAGACTTAAAATCAATTATAAGATCTCCAATAAAACAACTCAAGCTGGATTCTTGTTAAAATTTATGAATTATCACACGATTAATCTCACTCGTCCAGTTAATTTTACGCGCTAAAATTTATAAAATAACCCCCTAAATATGTTTTAATATAGTTATCAAAGTTTTGTCAAATAAACTGGTTGAAAGTAGGCCTTTTGATTAATGATGTTATTGCATCAAACTGTTGCTCGACGAATGGCAGACAAGCAGAAAAATATTCTTCTAATACTTCCGAAGAGTCTAAACAGCCGAACTCTCCCGCTCCTTTGTATTTATCATCATCATCATCGCCAGTCACCCCGGTTCGGCCCCAAGGCTAGGTCGGCTGGTACGCAATTACCGAACGCTCTTAGATGGTAGAGTCGACGTCGTTAAAGACAAATAATCCCTCTTTATAATCTGTAGTAAGTAATTCGAACTCCGAAGTCGCTATTCAAAAGGTCGTCGACACTTTAACATTCTATACTACTTTAGTAGCCGGTGTTCAATAGGTTAAGTCGAGTTTCCACACCCATCGTGGCGACAGCCAAGCGTTAATTATATAAATTAAGACACCGTCACAATACACTAGGACGTATCTTAAATGCCAGTTATGCAAGCGTATATTAAAATAGTGCATCATCTTTCTGGCAGACGACCTTTGAGACACATCAGACATCATCGATGAGGAATACCTATACGTGGATGCCTTTAGAATAAAATATTTTTCCGTCGATAACACTTTAAACAAAGTCGTAAAAATAGAAGCTATTTTGTCAATAAATACGTTACAGACCGTAATTTTCAATTATAAATTTTAAAAAACAATAATTTTCTTATTAAAATAATGAATTTATAGAATACGCAAATTATATTCTCTCCTCTCGCAGTATCAACTGGCAGTACTTCTCCTAAGGGCATCTTACCCAAATTCGTCTCGCATACGACTAGGCCATAGTTCATTTCGTTTCATAATCTGCATATTTCTCGCTATAGGTGTTCGAATTTGAACACTAAAAACGATTTTCGTCTCCGTCTCTTATCCGATTACAAATATTTAGATAAAGATAGGTGAGGTTGGAGTCGGAATATTGCTAATCGGCAATAAGAGATAGCAATTTGTGAATGGAAGCGCGCAAGTTCTATTTCCAAATGGTCTTTATCGAGTCCAAATATTTATAAATCCTTTAACTGGTGACTCGGTAGAAACGATGGGATTGTGAACAAATTACCGACTGTAGACGGAGTGCTATTTTGAATTTCCTGATGAAGAGATAGACCTTGCCTCCGAGCCATTTGTTAAACTGCTATAAAATGTTATTAATAAGTGATAACAGCAAATCCACCGAGGAAAATAGCAACGTTGTCTCTCTATTGATCCCTATGGGGGCTAATCGTTGCACATCTCTGCAATAGTTTAGCAAAAGATCCTAATTGTGAAAATTGGATTTTAGTTTCGAAAAATATTTACGACGGTCAAACCTGTTAATAGATTATATTTCTACCATTTATTGTTATTATTAGTGTAACTTTTAATTGCTTAATTAGTGTTTATCTTGGCAACTCAAGCGTAGAAAATACGAAGATAGCTTAAGTTTCGGATTTTTCCAACGATAAATTTCGAAGATATCGTCGAAAAATAATGGCAAAAAGTGAACTGGAAAGATTTTCATAGCAATTTTCAAATATTTTCAAATATTCAAACCTTTGCTTCTTCGTTCCAATCCACATCCAAACGTAAGCGCGAAGGCCGGAGGCTTACTCTAATATTTTTTGTTTAATTCTTCACATTTCTGGGACTTCAACGTATTAAATTTTAACTACTACCTATTCAATTCTACAATTTAAAGCGATAGGTAGGTAAAAATCTCCATTGCGATATCCAATCATCATCGGAAGGGTGAAAAATACACCTGTTAACTTTTTCACGTTTAAAGAGGCGAGGTGATAACGTTCCCGGTAATAAATACATAGCCCACACGAAAATAGAAACAAGTTATTAAATTAAACGTATTTTAAAAGATGTACCAATCAATGACGCTTTTATGGACAAGCCGACAAGGTCGTATCTAGTAAAAGACGCCGATAAATGGAATAAAATCGAACACGGGGTCTCGAATAACCGAAAGAATTAGGAATTACTAAACGTGACGTCATCGGTCGAGAAGACCAGGTTTATTTGTTTCTCGCAGTGACATAATCATAACAGGAGTCGGAGCATCCTCGGTCTATTATAACAAAATGTGACGAACCGACAACACGAGATAAGTTCGATTATTATTCCGCGGCTTCTCTTCTCGCCACGACAAGGACGGAATAAAGTATTATTCTCCTTTTTTTGCTATCGGAACCCAGATTTTGCTAAGTGAAAAAATCGGCCCCATCTTCAGATGGCTATCTTCGCGCTCGACACGTAGCGAAGGCTAAATCCTCGTGACGTCGGAAACACGCCGGTGGCAGTTGTCGGCGCTTGCTCGATGATCTCCGTATAGGTTCGGCTAGAGTAGTGGGAGCGCATGCGCCGAGAACAGGAGTGTCTGGTCGCGCTGGCACACACGGCAGACGGCCAGATACGCACAGAGATCTCGTCTCGAACGGTACAACCCACTTTACAATCCAGGAGTTGACTCGATGCTTTGGAAACTCGAATGGTGACGTGGTGGAAATTGTCCGGAGATTGTAACAAATGTCCCGTCGGAAGCAATCGAATCCAAAGCCCTTAAAACGTGAGTACCCCATTGGTTATTCTTATCTAAAGAATCCAAGGTTTTGTCTAAGTCGAGAATAACGGATAAGCGAATTTCGCCTCTCCCACCGATCGGACGGGTGGTCCAATCGGGCCAGAAAGGTAAGTTTTCGGAAAGGGTGGGCCGCCGGTGGCAGACGGACGACACTACACCGCATTCGGGCTCCATTACTGGACGGTAATAAAGCGCGTGACCGGCCGGAGTAGACGAATTTCCAACGGGTCTGGGATCGGACCGTACTGTACGTGTCGATACGTCGACCGTGGGTGGACCCAGCAATAACCCGACCGACGTTTCCGTTTTCGAATCCGTAGTTTGACGATACGAGCGGGTGGTTAAGGGAAAATTTCGCTAAGGCCTCCATCCCACGCATCCGTAGAAAATGCCGCGAAAAATCACGGAGGGGGAGGAGAGAACGGCGACGAAGGAGAAGAGAAGAAGGACGGGAGACGTTTGGCAAACGGAGAATCCCAGAGAGAAGAGCCGGTCCGAGATGTGGCGCAAACGTTTCAATTAGCGAGATTGATGGGAGGTAGGGGCTAAGTGGGGAGGCGAGACGGAGTCGGCGTTAATTTGTCGTTGCGGCATGCCCGGCGTGCCGGTAAACAGTCCGGAATTCTCACGTCGACGTCCAGAAACATCCGTCGGTAAGTGGGAATTACTTATGATGTATGATAGGGTTTGTTGTTTGAGTTTGCCTCGTTTAACTGCGCTCTTCGTGCAGACCGAGAGATAAAAGCCGGCGTGGTTGGCACGTCCCTTTCGCTCAGCCTTTAAGTCCGAAGGGCTTCTAAGGCTCACTTTTTGATGAATACGTCGGCGGAAAACTATATTTAAGTCCGGCGCCGAGTACTGCTCAATCCAGATGGGCGGGCAACTCGCATCCTACTTCCATTTTATTTACTGGCGCGGCCTGCAAATGACTTTTAAAATGCCCGCTTCCACCGAGCAAACGTTTAAGTTCTTTGTTAGTTTTTTAAAGTGGCGTACAAACCAGACGCGGAGGTAATTAGGCGCCTGTTACGCACGTGGAAATAATGGCGAAAATCGTTTATAAACTCTTAATACGCGAAATTCGTTTGACAGGTCTCGAAGTGTACGCAGACCGTGTACCACTCTTCCCGGCGGGGGAGAAGCTCGCTACATCTGACAACACATCACTCGTGCATTTATATAGGCTTATCGCCAACGCATCGTGATCCGCGCTGTCTCAACAAGTCATACTTTCCGCTCGCTAACTTCTTCCTCCTTTTCCTTTTGCCTTTATTTGCTTTGCTTGGACGTAAAAGTGAAAACATTTCTGGTTTAACTCAAACTGCCCCCTTTTTCTTTTCTGTACTAAAGATGGAGGAAGCTCTACCGCCGCACTTTTACAGAAGGGGATGAGCCCGGTGTCGGAACCGAATTTGAATTATGATCCAGATTAAATGTCCTTATTTTGATAAGATACGAATCGAGATAAAGCTGTGGTCCTTTACAATACTTCCACAGTTTAAAATAAGGAGAGGGAGGGGGAAAAATAAGTTTACGGCTTAAAATAAAAAGACTAAATTGTAAAACCAGATCTTTATCGGTTGATTTATAAAAGGATTTTTAAATGCTGGCAACGTATTTTTCTCCAAGGCCTTACACCTTCTTTCCAAATACGAATTTCTAACCCACTTTCGAGACGGCCACGTGTTGAGCATGAAACAAAAACTGACTAAATATGTCAGGGGTGAGTAGACGAACGGAATTACGTAAGCGCGCCGCACGGCGTACATGCGTGAAAGTTCTATTTAGGTCACGGGGCAGATCGGATTACAAGCGCCACGTTTGGACCTACCTATGGGCAGCTCTTAATGGCCAGGGCTCGAAACTCTTCGTTAGACGAGGGTGGGATGCAGAAGTGCCGAGGGTGGATTAGAACTTTTGCAACTTAATCACGCGGGGTGTGTCCGCCGCCGTAAACATGTTATTACAATTCTGATCAATACGGTCGACGATATTAATAATGATGTAACCTTATAGAAGGCTAATTATGCCCGGAATTGGGTCCTATTGGATTATGGGGCCGGACGTAATGAGGTTTAATAATAGATGGATTACTTAATAAATTACCCCAGATGTTTATCTATGTATATTGGACAAGATCTCGGGTGGGTGAAGTTGAATGACTTGTTGGCTTTTGGTTTTGTCGCAGGAAGTATGTAAAGATTTCGTACACGTGTAAACACGCTCCGGATTTTTTTTTCCCGAAGGTCTCCATTCTAGTTATTGTCCACCGGCGATAACATCAAAAAATTCGCCAACTTGCATAATTCCGTCGCTCGATATTCTATTTTGCAAGACAGAAATGTGCCTACAATACGCGTGTAATAAGTCCCCTTTTAGGATCTAAGCTTAATTTTACGTGCTACGTTATGCTCGATATACGAGAAATGGCCACGTTCGAACAATAATTTGGCACCGTCCGCACGTTTCGCTCTCTCGTCACTCCACATTTTGCAAATTTTTACAGGTTTTATTTTCATATAATAGTTCGAAATACTACCGAATTTTATTTATAGATTTAGTTATTTGGGATCTACGTAAAAGTATATTTAGCTCTCGATAGTGTCACTTATCAATATTTGTCTGTCTATTTTCAGTTTCTAATTTTAGTACAATATTTAACAAATACGTTCTATCAAAGGTAACAAAATTCTTCAGATATAATTCTTGATTTATGCGCGATATAATCTACTGGATACAAAGATATTTTTAAACCTGCCTGTTACATCTACTTTAAATATATCCGCTTTATAAGTCTGCGATTGGTTTTTTTATAGAAAGGTTTTTGTGTTTTTCTTCTATAATTGTTTACTTCCTTTACCAGGATCCTTTTTTTCCCCTTGACGAATTTATTCGTCCGTGTACGTGTTGCTAGACATATTAATTTGTTAATATAAGAAATGCTGATTTTAAGATGTTGTAGGAACATTGGATACTGTTATCTTCAGATTATTACGCGATATGGAGAATATATTTTGAAAATTTTCCACAGATTCTGGACGTTTAATGAGGGAGAGAGAAATTTGGTGATTGCAAAAAATTCGTCGAGTAAATTGTAAAGGAGAAGGACGATTTTACCAGTGAAACACCTAGGAGAAACGATCAAATATTACAAGGAATTTTAGTATATTCTTGTTGATATAGCAGTTTAAGAAAACTTGTAAAATACGACTTTGACCAGCGATATAGATCGATAAGAAGAGTAAACATAAGCCTATCATGCAGTAAGTGTACTCGTTTCAAGATGATCATTGATGATAAGAAATTATAACCTGCGATTTGAAGATACCAGCTTTCTGTTGATAACTTTTTAAGAAACAAAACTATGTTTGATACTTTAATCAGCAATTTAAAATTATCTTGATATTTAAAACTTTTTCTCTGACAACGTATCATTTTTTTTTGTTTGCCTAATAATAATTTCTTATATTAAAACTTCGCAATGTTTTTATTTTTACATCCAAGATTACAGAATTATTTTTTTCTTGTGATATTGTATATAGAAAATTATAAAATTTTATTTTAGTGTACGGTATTTTTATCGGTAATTTTGATCTATAGAGGGAAGGTTATGTAGGTTAAAGGCTATTTAGAGGTAATATACGAAGGCTGTATATGTATATTTAGGTTGCATTTTTAGTCTTAATAAGCAAGAAAATCCAATTTTAATGTAGATTTTATTCAATTTTTCGGAGAATATTACATATTTTGTGTATAAAAAGACTAACGAAATCATTAATTGTGTATTTAATTTACCTTGCACACTTGTATATAAGGGAATTGGAAGAGAAATTGTATAAATCTCCAGTGCTCCCCTCTAACTATAGACAATTTTTTGGTTTCAGATTAAATATTTTTATATGGAGAAGAAAGAAATTAAATTATTTGTTTTTAATTATCGGAAAATTTATTAAAAAGACGAATTTTGCGGTAGGAAGGGCTCGGGTGGCAATTCAACCCCGCGGGTAAATTTCCTTTCTATTAATTTACGATCTTTTTGGATCGGAGAGCTTAAAAAAGAATTGGATTTTTAGAATCTTCTGGCTATTCAAACACATATTAGAAAGCCGTAAATTTATTACCGCCGTTTTAATATCCGAATTTAGCATAAAAATAATCCTTTGCGGAAGATGGAAGAAGCTTCTCTACTCTTCTAAAGACATAAATAATGTATGCAGAGAGCCTCTAATAAATTATCTCTCGACCGAACGTATTCTTTTAGCTTAAGTAATACGGAGAAAAGGTGGCCTCTCGGCAGACATCTTGAAAATTTTGGAGAATCTCCCCGGGGGTGCAATTTTGAAACCTCCTATCTGGGTACTTTAGGCCTTAGATATCTTTAGATACTCGCTGGAAAAATTTCCCTTATCTAAGATTGTTTAAGTTATAAAGAAGCGAAAACTTTAAGTATTTTTAGAAAAGCGTGCATTTTTCCCTATTTTTATGTCGGTGGTTGAAGTCGTTTATGAGAAAAGGAGGAAAATTTTTATAAATATATACGTAATCTATATTTATCTGTTATTTTCCCTTAGCTCGTTCAAACAATATGATATTTCCTTGGCCTTAGTCACACCCGATCACGTGGTCCGATCGAGAGAAGTTTGTTTCTGTTGTTAGAATAAACTGGTTTTTATCGTTTGGATCGAACGTCGGTTAATATGTTAACGTTGCACTTTATCCATATTAATCGCTTTTGCAAATATTTTCCTGCAAAATAAACAAACAAATCGTTCGAGAAGCAGCATTAGAAATTGGCGCCGACGTTTAACAATTGTTTCTTTATACGCTGTATTGTTTACTAAAACACGTCATCTGCTTGATTACGTCATTCCGACCGAGATTGCTTTTCTATTATTCGGTGGCCATTGGGGATGGCCAGAGGATAGCATCTGCCACTCCTTTATAAATGGAAGCTGCACTACTTTCTCCAGTCACGTGGACCACAG